TCGCCCCCAATTTGTAAAAAACGCATTTCAAATACTAGAGACTTGTGCTTTGGAACGATCATACATTTGAACATTATGATTGTGTTCTAGAAATTTCATTATAAAATGGATTAATCAAAAAATTAATTCTCATAATATTGCCAACACTGCAGCGCAGCCCAAGCGCAGCCCAAGCGCAGTCGCTGCTTACTGCTGTTACTGCGCAGTTAGCAGAGCGCGTTTTTATACGTGCGTGCAGATGCATGTGTATGAATGAATATGTGCATAAAAGAAGTACAGAATGATTAGAATATCTGATTGGAGGGCTCAGGGTATCTCCTAGTCGAGCAGCCACATTAGAGCCTTCTTACTTGTTTTTTCATCTAAGTTTTCGAATATTTTAAATTTTATTAACTGCATCATAAAGTTAGAAATATATATACGCTCGATAAGACCTTATTACCAATTTAAGTAGCTCCCAAAAAAAAATTTTTTTATATTAAATGAATCTCTTTTTTATAGTTTTACGATATGTATACATGGCCAATAACGCATATGATTTAGTTATTGGTCATATTTTATAATTGTTTTTTTTTTTTCTACACAAATTTTCTCTTTGAGATTCAAATTGTGTAACAGGAACTTATCGATATGTTTTTAGCATTTAAATACCAAAACTATTTAATACCACTGTTTGTTCAGTGTTAATACTCTCAGTGTGGTATTTTGAACATTTCAACTTTCAGTATTTTAGTGCTTGCTATTTACGACCCCGATTTTATCAGCACATTTTTAGTTGTGTCGCAAGCGTCATAAATATATATTTGTTTAAAAATTTCGAGAAAGTAAACAATTCGAATCATTGAATATGCCCGCTGTGGTGCGCATTAAGCGCCGCATTGACGAAGAGCCTCATTCGGCATTCCTATTAAATGGCAAACGGCGTCGTCTGCTCAATGATGAGCACGCGCCCGCTGCGTCGGCGGAGCCAATTGCCGAAAACAAAGAGGCACAAAATCAAGTACTTTTAAAGTTTGCCGGCACGCTGGAAAGGCAGGTGAGCGGGTGGGCAGAGCATGTGCACAACAGGCGTGAGAGCTGGACCAGGCATAGATCATTGAAATCTCTTTGTTTTAGGACGACTGCGCCACCAGGCAATTTGCTGCAGCTCGTATGAACAAAACCATTGCCAAGGAGCTAGTGAGTCAGACTAGTGATCCAGCCAAAGCCAGCACGCTGCGTCGAGATAAACAGCGGCAGGAGCAACAGCAATTGACCAGGGAGCGACGATATCGAGTGGTCAATTGCCTGCGCACTACTTTGAACGACGTAGAGGAGGAGCAGGAGGAGGAGAATGGAGGAACAGCAGCCGGTTGCAGCAACAGCAACCAGGTTCAAAGCAAGACTGACAGCAGGCAGATAACAATTGTGGATATCGAGTCCCAGCAGAGGGAACAGGAACCGCATCTTCCTCTGCTGGACCAGCAGCCCGTTGACTCGGATGTGGGCTATGTGTACGATTTATATGTGCCGGAGAATGAGCTACAGGCTCAATATGTTGATATGTTCGATGACAACTACTTAAGGTTCGTCCTAAACACAAATGAAGAACAACAATTGTTGCAACTTACAAATTTCTTTATGTAAACCACACAAACCACATTATCTTTTGGCTAGTCGTCAATCAATTGAATCTATCTATAACAATATATACACACACCCACACACACGCATACGCACACATGCATATAAATAGATATATCTATACCTTAATGTTGTCCTACCTTGTCCCTTGTTTACTTGTAATCATCCGAAATCAGATTGTAAATCTTTCAATAATTTATTTGTTATTGTTAATTCGTCTGATTCTCTATATAAGGTTGTATTATCCGTTTAATTACTACAACAACTGCTACTGGTAACACAGCAACAGCAACAGCACCAAGACCATCACTGCTGATGCACCGGATCGATGTGCCACGCCCAGCAGTCCAAACGCCCCCACTTCGCACCCACACAAACGCAATCAAAATCAATCAATCTAAACGTCGCACGGCATGCAGCTCTTCCTTCAGAAAAGCAACAATATCAACTTAATTAGCTTTTAGTTTCTTTCTTTTGCTTTTTGCACCTCACAAACACAAACACACATACACATACATATACTTTGTGTATATTTTGTTCATTCAGTCCCAATTTGTTGCCAGTTGCCTGTTTTTAAGTTTCTTATTAGGTTTCAATGTAAGTCATTCCACAAATCGTGTGCTAAAGTCTAATTAAGTGCTTAGTTTTAGTTTAGCGCGAAAATCAAATAAAATATATATGTTAATGCCAATTTATAGCAGTCGTTGCCCGGCTTTGTGCGGCACACGTGTTTTTCTTCAATACAAGCTTTTGACAGCTTTTCAAGGGCTCATTAATCTGAATAAGCTTTGCAGTCTTAATTATTTCGAGGTTCTGTCGATGGAAATACTTTCAAGTGTCTAATGGACTACAATAGATTCCAATTTTACTGTATGATATTTTCCCTTTTGCCCTATTGAGGGTAGCTCTCTCCTTCAGTTATTCTCCAGTATTCCTCTAGATCTTATACTATCCGTTGTGTGTCGATCGTCGTATATTCGGCTAGCTACTAATAAGTCAATCAGTCAATCGTACGATTTGTGGGTTTATTCATCAGTCAGTCGTTTTATGCGTCAATCACTTAGTTCACCATTTAATTAACCCGCCATCATCAACTCAAATGAAACAATCAATTGATTCATTATTCAAATAATCTTAGTCCCCCATCATCTCTCATCAATCAAATCATCACAGTCAGTCCATCAAATATCAAAATATGAAAGGGGCAGTCCTGTAACCATTAATCATTAATGAATTCATCTGAATACAATCATCTGTATAATAATCCAATTATTAATATAAATGTCTAATCATTTGACTCTATAGAATAAGCTAGGCACGAATGCTACTCTTAATAAATGTATATATGACAAAATTCATTTGAAAAGTTTTATCTTTCAATCCACTAGTATCAGTATCCTAAGTATCTTAATTGACTGAATGAAAATTAACCGAATAATACAATTCAAATTACTCAGTTAATTAAAATTTGTTTAGTTTTCGAGTTAGAGCTAACTAGCTAATTTAATCGATATCATTTAGTTAATTTCAACTAAAACTGACTAATTTAACTTAACTGAATAATTAAAATTAACTGAATAATAGAATTGCTGTGATTCAGTTAAATTAAATAATTGAATAATTGAATTGGTGTTATTCAGTTAATCCCTGATTTTATTTCCGTTAAAGCCATCAGTCAATCATTCAGTCAATATTTAAATCACAATGGAACGCTCTCCTTTTCCTTTTCAGTCTTCGGCCCGTTAACGAGGTTTTCTACGAGGATTGCTACAACGATGATGAGGACTACGACTCGGAGGACTCGAACCAGGAGAACTACTATACGAACGACTATCCGGATGATGATGATGCCGGCGCAATGGGCTCCGACGAAGAGCTGTGCCAACAAATGAATCGGTTTATGTTCGGTAAAGATCATATGCCAAACTAAATATGTTTCCCCATAAAGTTAACCTAAACTTTTTCACTTGCAGATGATGATGATGATGAATTCGCCAGTGGCTCGAGCGATGCGGAGGACCACAATGAGTATTATGATCCCTATGTTCATACCATAGACACGGAATCAGCGAGCTTCGTGGATGACGTCGACTTCTTTAATGCAGAGCGTGGGAGCGCCTACGAGCGCTATAAACGTAGAATCCTGCGGGAGGCCGAAGGGCTTGCATCCTCCTCGGAAGACTCGGATGCCGATGAAGCGGATGCCTACTATGAGACCGCAAGCGAATAGGACGCGGAAAGCGATTGAGCACCATCTTTATAAATAAGATAAGATATAATAAGATTTCTTTTAAAAGTGAAACTTTTTAAAAATATTCGAATGGATGTATTTCAATCAATTTAGATGAGCTCTTCAAAGCAAATATACATATACATATATATTCAATTAATATGTGCTATGTCGAGTTTCTGTATATTCCTCAACGCTGCTTCCTTTGAGTCGTGCTTGCGAGGCTTGACAAAACATTGCCCATCTGCTTTAAATATACAAATCTCTGCGGCTAACGGTAGTTTTAGACGTTTGCACACCCATCAACTGAAGTTTGTCAATTGTCGATTAATCGCATGCTCGATACACGCTTCTTGTGGAATGTTTCCATGTGGGGGCAAATTGTGTTCTCTTATCCACAAGGACAAACAAATCAAAAGAAGCAAATTTAGTCAGGAATTTTATCCTCAACGATGATAGCAACATCAGTCGTCTCCAATATGGAGTCACGACGTCATTCCATTCAAGTCGCTAATCATTTCTTAAAAAATATGCTGTTCTCGTTGGCTTGGTGATATATTTGAGTATTCATTCACCTATGGGTTTTTGGAACTGATGTCCATAAAGCGATCTGAAGAACATAAGCGTGCGCTAGGAGTTAAGTTAAGTTTCCTTTATTCCAATATAATCTGCACTAAAAGTATCTTTAAGCCTAGACTTGAGTTTTATAATCTATAGAATCTATTAATCTGACTTTATGGATGACTAATTTATAAATATAAAAAATGTGAACATATATTCTCTTTAAGGCATTACCTATTTTGGCCGCTACTATATGTCCTACATTCTAAATCTATTCGGAACTTTTCCTGCGCTTTTTATGCTTTTTCTCCTTGGAACTCTTGTTGCGTTTCTGCTTCTCCTGCTTTATAGCCTCAGATAACTTTAACTCAGGCTGTGGCTCTCTGGCTGCAGGATTAGGCTTAATCACAGGCTTCGGCGCGCATCCTTCCATATAAAGTCGCAGCGTTTCTTCGTCTAGTTTCTCATTATCTTTGGGTGGTTTATAGTCTGCCACATGATCAACTCGCAGCGTGCGATCGATAATTTTGATGCCATTCAGATTATCCACGGCGAGCACTGTGGAGCGTTGATCCTCGTAGCACAAGAAACAGAATCCTTTTGATTTTCCCGTTTTGCTGTCGCGAACCAAATTTATGTTCACAACTTCCCCATATTGGGAGAACACGCAGATGATGTCGCCCTCTGAAAGGGTGTATGGAAACCCAGCGATAAATATCCAAGCGGAGTCCCGGTACATGTCATGCCAGCTCTTGCCACTAGGGTTTTTAAGCTCCTGCTCGCTTAATTTGAGTACATTTCGCATATTTGTTAGCGGATTCATTTTAATATTTACAACTGAAGTAACACAGAAACAGTGTGCCCGTAGGAGGAGATGTTGGTAAAAATATACTACTATCGCACATTATACTATCGATGACTTAATCGAGTTTGTTGTGCAACACTATACGAACGAGTAGGTATCGTTTAGTGGAACTTGGTCACACCACGGTCAGTAGTACTTTTTAGTTGGTCGTCGTCGGTTCGGTGGTCGTTCATGCGTGCGCCGCAATTTTTGTTTTCGCGTTTCCAATCGAAAAGCCTGCAAAATTTTTGCTAGTGAAAACTGCTTGAGATGTTGTAATCTAATTACAATTATATGCAAGTGCTTCAATGTACAAATAAGGTGTGTTTAATGTTTGTTCAATTTATCAAATAAGCCGTCGTTGAACTAGCATGTCTGCCAATATGTGTATGAGTCCGTAAGTGTGAGTGGGTTTGTGCGCTTGGCCCCTGTACTTGTGTGCGAGTGTATGTATGTGCGTTTGTGCCAGTGTGAGTGTGTGAAAAGCAAAAGAAAAAAGATATGCTGCTCACAGCAGCAGCAGAAATGTATTTCTTCTTCTATTTAAAAATGTGTGTCAGTGTATGTGTATTACTAAAGAAGGCATAATAAATAATAGACGCTTGTTTTTCTGCTACTCTCAAGCATTTCAAAACGCTGTCTGGATTAATTGTGTTATTGTTTTAATTTTCCCATCAGTGCGAATTGTGTGTCAAATACAGCAAAAACAAAATGAAGCAAATAACCGTTACAGAGTATTACAACAACGCCCCATTTTAAGGAGGGTCAACATCTTCCCTCCCCCCCACAGCTTCTGTGTGCGCTTTCGTCATACGTTTTTGTCGCCTCTTACTCTCACTCTCTCTCCCTATATATCTGTCTCTCTGTGTGTCTCCTATTCCCACGCATGGATCGCCGCTCGCATAATGTACGCATTTTGCCTTTTGCTTTTATTTCTGCTGCTGCTGCTGGTATGTAAAAGGGCAAATATACTTGTGTATATAGATGATGATGTGTGTGTGTTTGTACGCGTATTATTTTGTTGCTGTTACACTACATTTATGTCACCCCGCTGGTCACACTTACACTCACACCTGAGACAACTCCACCATATGCCTGCTGCCTGCTGGCCTGTCTGCCCCCTCCTCCTCGTTCCTCCTCTAGCGCTGTCTGTCTTTCTATCTGTTTTAACACATTCCACCCCATTTCGCGCTGTAAATGCCGCCCGACTGCTTGCTCCTTCTCCTCCTCATGCATGTTGTTCATTCCACTGTTTTTTGTTTTTGTTTTAGCTTTTACTTGTTTTCGAGGCTTTGGCTTAGGTGTGGCCATACTTTAGTTAGTTGTGGGTTTCCTTTACACAACGCCGCGGAAGTAGTCATAAAACAATCATATAAAAAAAGAAAACTGCGTGACATTGAATTCACCAGCAGCTCCAGTTGCGCCAACCGTTGTCCTCCTTTCCTCTCTTTTCATCGTCTCTGTCTGTGCACAGCAAGTCACCGCGTTACTTTCCCAAAATAAAGAAAACAAATACAATAAAAAAAATCCAGCTCCTGTTGCAAAGCCTTTCCTCTTTGTGGCAAGAGTTACTTTACTTTTACACTAAAAAATTTACCGGATCTTTGTGGACATATTCTTTGCGCAGGGATTAAGATGGAATAAGTTGTTTCTTATAACTTTCAACCCCTTTCAAAAACTTGTTTAACCCTGCAGACTGTACAATAATTATTGCATATAAGCAAAAAATCGAATCAGTTGAAGATCGTCACAGGGTGCAAGATAAAAGAAAATGCCCTTAAAGAGTATTTGCCGTTCGTCAGTGCTCAACTTTTGTTTCTCTTCGATTTCTAATTGTGCTGTCTTATTTTTTCCCCATTTTCTTTTATACTATTTACATATACATAAATATATATAGTTTTTTTGGGCAAGCTTTCTCATTATGCTGTATTTGTGTTATATGTTATATACGATATAACGTATAACAAGTACTGTTATTATTATGTGCCTCACGTCTGCTCGAGCCAAAGATTCGCGCTGCGACTGCGCACGATTATGGCACATTTTTATAGCTGCCACAGCGATGAAAACTGCCTTCAGACCGAAACGTGTCAAGTTGCCAGATAACTACAGATGCAACATATATGTATATACATATATATATATAAATATATATGTGCGTGTGTGTGCTTGGCTCGTGTTTGAAGCATAACGTGCGCATAGGGTTCGATTAATTCCGTTGCGCCTCGGTAGCTGTGCACTCAACTCAAACATCCGCTCACACACTCACACATACACGCCCACACTTACTACTATTTGCTGCTGTTGTTGTGTTTTGGCTGGCATCGAATAACCCTTGCTTTAGGCCAATAACTGACCAACTGGCTGTTGCTGCCGCTGCTGCTGCTGGCGGTGCTCTGGGTAACATCTGTTTCGTTGTGGCTTACAAAAAAGCAGAAAACAACAACCAAAGAAGCAGCAGCAGAAAAAACTACAGTCAAAACAAGTAAGAGTTGGTGCGAGTAAGCTCGACTTAAGCATACCCTAGAGTGTGAAATGAGGTAATATAAGAGAACATTAAAAAAGGGAATAAATAATGTGCATTAAAATTTCACTTTGCTAAATAAATAAATAAATATTGTTTATAAGATTTTATTCAAATTTATAAAATTAATTGAGATTATTAATTTTTTCATACCCTCCCCTAAAGTGATCTATTTATTGCATTCTTAGTATCAAACTTCATTGTTTCAAAAATAATATTGAATTGCATTATCAACCGGAAACTTTTAATGATTGGTTTCCATTTCTGAAATTCTCTTATACGATTATTTCTCTTTTGCACTTTATGCCATGTATACCCCATTTAATATATCTTACAGGATATATAACAAGCAAGTGCAAAAAATGACTTTACACCCGTTTTTTGCTGCTGTTATTGTTGTTGTTGCTGTTGTGGGTCTTGTCTTGTTGCCAAGTTTGCTGTTGTTGTTGTTGTTGTTTTTGTTTACACCTGTGCCTCGCATTGCGCGATTTTGCATATTATTTACTGTTTACAGCATGTAAATTCTAGCTCTGGCCACGCCCACATTCTAAAACATTTTCGAGGGCCACATACCAGCTAAGCCCACACACACACATACACACCAACAAGCGCACACACAGACGCCACATATGAAAACAGAAACTAGCGGCGCGCGGGGTTTTTCATCTGCGTATCAAATAATTGAGCTCAATTGACTTAAATTGAAACTGACAACTGCTGTTTGTTTATTCTTGTTGCTGTTGTTG